CAAATTCACTCTTGCAAACTAAGAAATAAGATCGAAAACATGGAGTAAATTATTGATTTAGGTGCAAAGAAAATATTGTTAAAGATGGTCGTAATGGACGTCCTCATTATGAAGTTGATATCTAATGTGTATATATTTATATATTATTATGTCATTTTCAGAGATGGCTTGGTAATTAGTATTTATTAGTCGCAAGTTACTTTTAGACCGTAACATTGTCATGTTGTCTTTGGGTATAGATTTTTAAGGTATTAAAGAACAATAACAACAAAAAAACAACATAATAAACCCATTACATGTTCCACTGCTGAGCTTGGAACCTTCCTCTAAGAGCGATGACACACGATACGTTGAAACAGCCCGCAACGAGACGCAACGCGGCCGCCGCGCCGCCCAGCACATCGAACAGGGGGCCAGGAGACGAAGCGGGAAGGGTAAAGACACACCGCAGCGCGTAAGTAAGCGGCGTTACATTGCAACACCGCATTGCTTGTGTGGCACTCGATACATTACACAAGAGTTGCAATGACGCAACGCACCAGCAGCGCCTTACCTTATATACAAAACTAATACCTGTATACCTTAATTTTATGACGTTGTAGTTGAAGTTTCATTTAAGTGGTTTTGTAGCTACTACAACGACAAAACAGCCGTAAGCTTGGAGAAACCGAGACGGCAGGCTTCGGAATGTCTTGTTAGCCTTCGAAATGCTTCAGCAGACCTTCGGTCTTCTTGGAATATGTTTGTTTTCTTCCTCTTCAGTAAGACTACCATTTTTAAATATGTAACTGGTAATAAACCAGCTTGCAATGTTACGACTAATCTAAAAAGAGGCCAAGGCTAGTAACGAGCTTGATGTCCGGACAGCATGTCTAAGGACACCGCGGCATCATTGCCGTCGTCAGTGTGCGCTGCAAGCTATAGGAATGCCGGAAGATGCCTTACCATGCCTTTCACTGATTGTGGGCTGGGGATTTCATACGTTTCAAGATTTGTCAACCTTCTTCGACAAGCTGGTTTAATCACAATGCTTGTCTTCGCGGTTAGCGAGAAATGTTGGGTGCGCGGTAGAATGAGTATCCATTTGTAAATATTGAGAAGTTAGTGGAAAATGAACTATGAGATTTTCATAATTATTACTAATAATGAGATACCTACTTAAGTCTTAAATTGGAGATTAGAAATGCTTGAAATCGGGCAAAAGAATTATTTCTAAGCGAATTAATGCTTAGATCAATATTTCCAATTAAGACTTGTCTTAAATTCTTGAGTTTACCAAGTTTCTCAAGTATTTGCCTAAGTACTTTGTAAAGTACGTGATTACTACCTTTTCGAAAATAGAAATCAAATAAATATAGGAAATGAAACTATTTTTCCGAATTTAAATCGCGTATATTTGTTTTTTCAAACAAACCGACGTTTCGGGCCCTTTACAGGTCCCATGGTCACGGTTGACTGACCTGGTACAGTCTTCAACCACTAATTAACATGTTTCGGATGTACTACGTGCGATTTAAATCCGGAAAAATAGTTTAATTTACTATGGGTAACAATCTCAAAAACCTAAGAAGTCGATAATATATGAATATTTTTATAATGATACTAACATAGTGACGGGACGAACAAGTCGTACGCCTGGTGGTAAGAGACACGTCTGTCCATAACAGCTGCAGTGCCACACAGAGCTTTAAAACACAACGATCTGAGGGGGATATAAGTTGATAAGTCTCATGTGTCTGTAACTTCACCAGCACGCTTACTCTTCAAAACCGGAACGCAGTAACACTCACATTACTGCTTGGCGGCTCGTTTGCAGTTCTACTGCTACTATTGCGATATTAAATCTAAAAAGGTTTTTTACATGCTGCATATAGAATTAAACTATGTTGCATAAAAAACGAGCACTGATATGATATTGTAATATCAATGAATGATTGTTTCTGAACGGAGAACGGCTCCAAAAAACATATACAAAAATTTTATTTTATTTTAATTAAATATCCAATCTAATTAAAGATACTTAGAAACTTAAACGGTAGTTACCAACGTCATTTAGTCGAAGAGTACAAAGTTATTATTGTTGTGGTTTGGACGTTCTGGGTAGTGACCCGGAGGTAATTGATCTGGTACTCATAATACGGGAAGTTTCGTAGTGTGAGATTAGGTAATACGTGTGGTTGTCTGACACAGTGAGATGATGCCCAAGGAGCACACTTTAAACTCCTCAAAACTATTATATCTATAAACAGTCTTATTATGGTGTAGGTTTAGATTATAGTTCTCTATAAATGGTTTTAGAAAAAAAAAATGGTCTTACAGACTTATTTCACTCAAGTCAAAATTTTAAAACCTTCTTAATACCAAACAACTTAATTAAGTGTGATTTCTCTTAAGATTTACTCTTCTTCTCTTCTTCGTCTGATTATTTTTAGTAAAAGTGTTCTATACACATCCAGTAAAGTCTATTAACACTCTAAAAACTAGTGTTCTTAAATCTTAAGTTTATTCTAGATATATTTCATTTATACAAATTCTGTAGTGTTCATGCTTATTGACAAACACGTTATAGCGCGTCTAGTAGATTTTATTTAAAAAAATACTATAATTAGGGTTTTTACTCTATTGGACGTTGTAAGAGTTCATACAAAATGGATAAAGCGAAGAATATTAAAAGATCTGGTGAAGATGGTGGATATTATGTCACATCATTCGATACATTAATCGGTAATACGCGCGCGAGCCGGGCATGCTGCATCTTTGTTTGTTGACAAATAAATAAACATTGCGAAGTAATTCCGTGTTCTGAAGTGATAAAAACAATTGAAATGAGCGCGTAAACTACTGTACTTCAATGTTGTGTATGTGTATTGTGCCATCTATCAATAGAATACAGTGAAATCTTTGTGTGAAATATGATGCTGTATTTAAAATGCCTATATACTCTCATATTATTTGGATGGACGTAGGTGACAGCGGGAAATAAGTTTGTCTAAAGAGATATGTTTATTGTTCGGTCTCCAGATTAGTGGTCCCATTCAAATTTGAAAAAAACATTCCACCACTAAGGATGTCAAGTTAGGGGATGAATCCGATTTATTGGATATCACCCACATTCTGTTAATAATAATAATATAATAACGCGCACACATAACCCTGCACTAGGGAAACGCTGTATCGCGGGTGCCATGGACACAGACATAGACAACTATAAATTATACCCAAACTCACGAGAGAAATAAATGTAGGCCTTACAAATATTTCTCCCGGCACGGGAATCGAACCCGGGACCTCTGCGTAGCAGTCTGGTAACCGTTCGGCCACGGAGACAGTTACGTCATAGGTTCAGAAACTATTTAGATCACCGCCACAAACAATAATTGAAAACCATTGACTTACAATTATATGGACGTCGGGTCCGCGCTAAAAAGTGTCCGCACTTGTAAGGCGCTAAAATCGTATACAGAGCGCGACACTCCGCTTTAGTCTTCATTTGTTCTACTGATAGCGCGATACTGCGATGACATTACAATTTAAATTTCGAATAGGTTGACTTGGGACATTTTTTTCGTGGTTTTTGTATTAGACCCGTCGTCCATTTATTTGTAAGTCAATGTTGAAAACACGTGTTTTTTATATTAAGTAATATAAAAAATCACAGAAAAAAATATATAAGTAGTGTACTTTATATAGATAATTCAGGTCTTTTTTTTTGTCGAATGCGGTAGCACCTCTGAACAGAACCCCCCAATTATATCCTTAGGACTCTTTAGCGCCCACTGGAAGATGGTAGGGATAACTTTGGGAAACTATGATCTAACCTATCAAACTGAAATATTGTATAAAAATTAGTAATGGCGCGGCTGCAACGCTTCTATGAACATCTAATTTCAATCAACCTGTCAATTCTTTTTATTTTATTTGTGTAATCTATGTACTTATAATCCCAAAACACTTGATAAGTTCGATAGTCTTCTATAAATGCCAATGTTTTAATTTTATCTTCCCTCACTTTGTGCAGTAAAACTACGCACTTGAACCCATCGGTGCCGGAGCGGCATGTGCCACTGCATGCATGAACTTTACACATGCGTCAGAGGAAGACGCAAGATGAACATGAAAGCGCACTGGTGTGGACGTAGCAATTACGCTATGGTTATAAAAATGTTTTGCAGTAAGTAAATTGATCCTTAATGCAGCGCAGTGACAATCGTCATTAGTTTCAAAACGAGCCCAATTGTCACTTAATAATCATTAGTAATGAATCAATCAACATTGCTGAACTCAGTTCCGGATTTAAATGATCTGACATAATTACTCACGTACACTATTTTTTCCCCTCTATATCAAGTATCATATAAGCCAATTATAATCTAGAAACAGAGCAGTGCCATGTTTTCGTTATCATTAGAATTGGAACAGCTGAACGTATTTTTCTATTGTAATGCTATCATTACACGATTGTTAATATTGAAAGTCTGGTGGATAACAGAGAAATATCACCGACATTTGTTATTTACTGATGTGTTCCGTGTCTAAGGATAGGAAGAGCCAACAATCGCAGGCATAGAAGAGTATTTATGTCCGTGGCTACTAATTTATTTACGATATTAAGGATAATCTCTAGTATCACAATCCATACACGGCGGTTAGCTCTGTCCATAGGGTGGACTCTCTGTCTTTTTACTGATTTCTATATCATAGAATACACATATTTAGGATTCAGAGGTGAAAATCAATAAATACTATATAATTAACTTATTAGGTACAAAAATCTTTCCATAACATTTAGACAATCACGTCTCAAGTTAGTTATATTTAATCATCATAATGTACTTTTTAACCTCAAGTCACGTTAATTACATTCGCACGTTACGAGACGGCACCGCTTTTAATAGAAGTGAAAGGACAGTAGGAAAAGGGGAGTCTACTCACTATATAAAACATTTTCATAAAAAATCTTAGACACTGATAAGGCAATATTCATTTTATATCATTACAACTTAGTAAACAATAGGCTGAGAATAAATTCCACCAAAGATTACAGTTGTTGTAGTTCTTTCTATAATAAAGTACAAAAAAGGTCTATTAGCAGTAAATTCAGGTGTCAAAGTCCTATCTGAAAAACTAGCTGTAGTAGATCCTGATGCTACCGTCCCAGATTCTGTTACTTCTATATCTGCTTTGTGTATAACAGCTGACACAAATATGTCTTCACTAGTCACCTTTTCAAAAGAAGCTAAATCAGGCTCAAAAATGTCAAAAACACCCATATTATTCAACGGTTTGTTCAAAACTACGTTTGTACTTATCTTAAATCTTGGTAATTGAACTTCTACGTCTGTTAAATCCCATATTTCAATATCATCTAGGAGTTTTTGTTGTAAATCTTTTAACGTTACTTTGGCGAAGTTTTGATATACATCTGCTAGCTTTACATGTATGTGTGGAAGGATGACCAACATGGAATACTTGTTATCATTTCCGTAAGGTAATTCTAATATGTAAGCTTTTATATCAGGATAGTTTGAAATTGGGAATGGAGCCACTTGGTACATCATATTCACTTCTCCTATCTTTTCCATGTCTTCGTTGTAGAAAGGCTTTCTTCTTGTTTCAGATTTATTGAACGGTGAGCTCCATAATCCTTTGAAAGATATGACGTTGGTTATCAACATCCTGGATTCAGCAAAATCTTCAGATTTTAGAACATTAGCCACTACTCCACTTCCAATTTTCTTTATATAACTATTTGCTTTCTTAGCGGCTGCGTTTGGATTGTCGAAATCTAAAACCTTAACAATGGCACCGAAATCTTCTTGAACCATATGTCTAAACTGAGGATACACCATAAAATCATTGTCCAAAAACACATAATTCTTACTAGTCAATGAAACTCCTTTAGTTTTTGAGGTCAACACTGTATTGGTCAGCTTCTTATATCCTTCTATTAATTCATTTTTATTTCTTGGTAGTATGAAAGCTCGGATTAGTTGTTTGTAGCTATCTCTTGTAGCTCCTAGTGCAACACCAGTCATAAGAGTCCAGATTCCGAACGGTGAAATGACAACATGTCCATTAGTTTCTAGCTGAGTAAAATGGATCAGCTCAATGCTGAAATTTCTCGCTCTGTCACTGAAATCCACATCGCAAAAACACGTTGTTATAATTACAAATAACACTCCGATGCTTAAACGATACATAGTGCTATCTTGATCGAGGTACGATTGGAAATAAACCAGTCAAACCGAAATGTGCCATTTAAACTTCAATTAAGGTACAATTAACTAAATAGTGTGGTAGGTAATTATTAATTTTTATATAAACGCTTGGGTAATTATTTCTTTACGGATTTGAGAGATACAAATAATTATTATACAGGGGATGCTCCGGAGAAACATTTACGGAGAAACCGTCTTCCATAATTGCGGCGGTATAGAAATGAAAATGTTACTCAACAGAACTATAATCAGCTTATTGCGTGTACTTCCGTACACGTAACTTCGATACCTTTAACTGCGGATTTATCGCGATCGATATAATTTTAATTAACATGCACTTCAAGGTCATTAAAAAAAAGAATATCCGTTTGCGGTTTTCCCCGCCTGCGTACACTGCACACAGTTGGCTAATCTGTCACACCAGGTGCGCAAACATTAGGTGTTGCCATTTTAATAATTACCTAGTAGCGATCTTTACAATAATCTAACGATTTTTTTAGAAATAACAAGTCAGTGTAACGTTCCATTTTAAATCAATATAACTGTCTAAACGAGATTTTAAATTTAACGCGCTGATTGTTGTTGGCTTCGTTACGTTCATCGTAATGTCACTTCGACATTATGTACATTAGATTCGCAGTACATTACAGTCAGCCGCGTAGTTCACTAAGTAGGCTGTAGTCAGCCGTGATCATGGGACCTGTAAAGGGCCCGAAACTTTGGATTGTTTGAAAAACAAATATACGCGCATAAAATATAAATTGAATTGATAAAAATAAATTGTTTCATTTCCTAGATTAAAGAAACATTTGATACATAATTTAATTAGAGCTATATCCACATATCTTAAAAATGTACTAACCAGGTTGATTTCTCCTCGCCAATCTAGCTCTCTGTTTGGCTTGCAGCGCCTGAAATTAAAGTTGAGATAAAGCAAAATATCTCAACTTTGCAATAACGTTAAATAATGGTTGGATCATAGATAAAAAAACGTACAATATCGGACGTTGAAACCAATAGTTAGAGTTTAGTATGTACCGGAGTAACCAAATCAATTCATAGTGTTACCAACCAATATATGTATAACTGTAGAGGGCTGGCTAATCTCCGTACTACAGAGCGGAACTCTGAAAAAGGCCATATTTAAGATGAAATGTAAGTAGTAAATTTTTTGTTTTTTTGTAATATTATTCAAATATTGACCATGAACTAAAATTATTTGATGAAACTTTTACAAATATGCCATCTACTGCATAGTGTGTTACAAAGTAATGTATAAATTAACGCTTGATAGTATGGGTAGATGGCGCTATTCCTAAACAAATTTAAAAATTCCGGCAGTATCCACAAAAAAGCTGTGCAATATGCGCCATCTAGTTGATTGTTATCACTAGAAACTAGATTAGCATTGATAAATTGCACTTCGTCAACTTACAAATTAATTACAAAACTAGCTGTTAAAGAGCTAACTAGTCACTGCAACTGTGGAGAGGCGTGTCGCTTACAACCATGTGCATAACTTGTCCGTCACGTCACTTGATATTATAAAAAAAATAAGTATTGGCATAAGGCTTTATTTACATTGCTGCAGAACAGAATAGAATGAATTTTTGTAATGAAATCATACATAGCATAAAGTTTAGCTGTGAAAATTCCCGAATCTGCGCGAGAATCCTCCTCAAGACGACCGATCCATTTTTTAGCTCCTATCTATGGGGGTCTACAGTCTACTCTCGCTATCCATCCGTCCGACACAATTACCTACTGTCAATTAGGTAATACTCGACCAATTAGAAGACAATGTTAAGTATGAACTTAATTCGCATCATGCGAACCGTAGTCAACGAGTGACCAAGGCGAGTTCAATCGAACGGAAACTTCTTGTGTTTCGTGATTATACTGAAATGAGTTTTCAACAGAAGAATTAAGGCTCAAAGTTAACCGTTCATCCTGTTCTTACAATTAAATTCTCAATCCTTCCAAAAAGTTACCTTCCCCCAAATACGAGGAAAGTCTCTCAAAATGTAATATAGAGTGACAGTGACAAATTCACTGGGCGAGAGTGATAATTTGTTAAATGTCTTCGGATTGATCCTTTGATACTGTTCTCATTCGTAAGAAGGCTTTTCGGGTTTAGCAAATTGATGTGACAATGTAGTTAATGATTAAATTGGTTTCTTCATATATTTTTGCTTAAGTTTATATGCTAATTTGATAAACTAGTTTGTCCCATGTCCACGGAAGCTTGAGTGGCCCTACTGTTAGAGCAAACAAGAGCTTTAAAGCTAAGCTAAAGGCTTTTGGAAGGTTGTTAGTTGGCAGTGAAACTGAAGGTTGTGGTCATTGACTTACAAATAAATGGACGACGGGTCTAATACAAAAATGAAATAAAAAAATAAAAAAAAATGTCCCAAGTCAACCTATTTAAACGTAGTGACTTGTAAAGGAATATGAAAAAGCTAAAACGTTGAATTTAAATTGTAATGTCATCGCAGTACTGTCTAATTTTGCTTGCTTCGCTGTCAGTCGAACAAACGAAGACTAAAGCGTGAATGACGCTCTGTATACGATTTTAACGCCCTATAAGTTCGGACACTTTTTAGCGCGGACCCGACACGTCCATATAATTGTAAGTCAATGGTTGTGGTAGAAAGAAGTTCATTGCCTATCACGATATTTTACTACCATGTCATTCAATTTTTTTGTGAAATTACTCCACTAGTTTGTTATAATTAAATGTTAACACAAAAATTGAATACAGAGAAAATTCATTCCATCCGGCTAGATTCGGACCAGCGTCTTCAGCATACTAGTGCGACAGACGAGCTCCCAACTAAGCTACGGAACGAACCTGCAGACCCAACGAATTTTTCTATGTGCTTTTGCAGATATTTATTTTTGGTTTTTTGAACGACTTTTTTGCCGTAGCGACATCTGTGAAAGTTGTGGTAGAAATGAAGAATGATATTGTCGTCAGACCAAGTCCAATTTGTAATAAACTTTGGTAAGTTAAAGATGCAACCTTAGAATAATAACGCATAGAAACCTAGCCCGCACACGCTAAGTGAGGCAAATTGAAGCGCGCCCAATGGGCCTACACGAGCGGGCGGGCCTTCAGTGCTCAAGGTCAACTTGCACCGCGAACAGCTCCAGAATTTTAGCTAAAAATTACGAAATGTGCGGTAAATGAGTGTAAAAATACGTCAGACAAACATAAAATAGATACTAACGTCACATTCCACAAGGAAGTAACCCGTTTCAACTTGTATTTTTATATAAATATTCACTAAAACCGAAAATTAACCTACTACTAAAACTAGCCTACATGAATTTGATTTTTGCCTCACTTGTGACAGTTCGTTTGATATGAAACTATCATTCTATGCGTTATTATTCTAAGGATGCAACATCGTCGTGACGGCCACGCCGCCCGCGCTCGGTCGCGTAGGCCTGGCAACACGTTACGTATACGTACCTTGACTTAAGTCAGCAGCGATCCAATGGCGTCAGCGGTGGATGTGTTTTTTACATCGGCGATGCTGGAGGTGTGCACGTCCATGCAGATTCGGTCGTGCAGCCCCCGTTTTTTATTTTAATTTTTTTGTAGGACCTCTAACGTGGAATGAAGGAGTCTTTTTGTATGTACATTTACAATTTTTTGCCTAATTTTCTTTTTCATTCTAGTTTTCGCTTTTATGCCTCTCGTACTTTTATTCTTCATATATATTACAATACAATATTAAGCTATTACATTTTACCTTATTTTACTATACATGTTTGTTTACTTGTTTATTGTTTTTACAATATGTTACACTAAATATATCAATATTTTATTACTTTGCTATCTTATTTCTGTTAATGACTCTATGTGCCATACTACTACAAGATTTTTAGAAAAGTATTGCGCAATTTTTTACTTTTTATCAAATCACTTATATTATCTAAAGCCATCTTGGACTTCGTAATACTTTTCATCTGGAATCTCTCAGCGGGCAATACTGGACACTCTAGTAGAATGTGGAGGTCTTGGGTATACAGGGTTTGCCAATATACGACACTACTGCGCCCTTATGGCGGAAATATTATGTAGCGTCCTGAGCCGAGTTCCCTGCCTACCTAGGCGCCCTCAGGCCTACTTAAATTTTAACGAGTTAAAAAAACCTTCAGCTCGCCCTTTTGTCAGGTGGCGCAATCAAGTGTGCGACGTTTGTGTCTGCTTGTCGTATGACCTCGAAGTCACTACACGCTCAAATGCACCAACCGTACCTTTGCATCTTTTAGTGTGTGTAAAGACCCGGGTGCCTAGGGATCACAGATGGCAGCCTCCGATAACCAGGAAGCTGACAGCTACTTGCTAAGAATAATCCTACATATTCATTATGTCAATGTTGCTAGTACACTGGACATTATACCCTAGGGCACAATGAAGTTTTCTTCTTCTTTTCTATAAATTGTCGTCCCCTGCGCTTCTTGTACTCCGAAGATTCGAAGAAAAATCGCAACAAGCAGGCCAGACCTTTTACAGGTCCAGTCGCTTTTACAGGTGCAATGACTTTACAGTCAGCCATGACTATGAGACCTGAAAAGAGCCCAAGACGATTTGTTTCCAAATACTTATATATAAATAAAGTACAAGTGTCATAAATGTCACAGATGGCACTATGGCAAAATTCCTAGAATTCGATCTTTGTATTAATAATTATAACAAATAATGGAGTCATTTCACAAAAAAAATATTTAATATCATTATAGTAAAGTAAAAGTAAGTATCGTGATAAATAATATTACAATATATGCGATTTAAGCCCGAAAAATAGTTTTTCAATTTTTAACAATCGTGTAAATCTAAGAACTTGACTGGACTTGGTTTTGGCGCCTTTTTACGACTTATGGTAGAACAATGGGTTACACTTTGTTTTTTTGGCTTGCGGTTATCTTTCTTTTTTTTGTTAATAACTATCATTGTGTAAGCAAATTTCTCT